TGGCTACAGAGCAGGAATTACCAAAAAAAAAAAAAAAAAAAAAAAAAACAACAAACAAAAGTTCTTCAATTAAGCTTGGTTGAAGTACTTGATTATTAACTAAATTTAAAAATAATTCGGATTTTGGTTTGTGAAATTTTAAATTTAAAAATTTGATTATTAAACTCGATTTATGTACATGTAAATTATGTCAAAATAAGCATTAAGATAGACAATAAATGAAATAAAAATATCTTTCTTGCCAACCATTTAAACAGTGTAATAATAATTTCCCTTGCAAGTAGAGTAAGAGAGCTTAGATTTAAATAGTAAGTATGTGTATAAGATTAATAAAAAAATTAAAAAATATATATTTGTTTATTATATAATTTAAAATTTAAAAGAAAACTTTATTTTTATCATTTTCTAAACAGCTAACTATTTTAAAGAAAAAAAAGACAATGGGCATTAACGATTATTGGTTTAAGTAGAAAGATTTCGATTATTAGTTTAAGTAGAAAGATTTCGATTATCTTTAAAAAAGATTTTGAATTTGAATCTTGCGAATGAAGAAATAAGTATTAAAAGAGTTATTTTTTATGAGATTCAAAGTAACTCAATTTTAAATTAATCAAAATTTAATATAATTATCAGATAATAGACGGTAGGCGGTAGGAGGCTGCTAATAGAATGCCAATGGAAAATTCAAGTGTCTTTGGCATATTTTAATTCCTGGAACACTACCCAATTGCCCACCTAAAAGGAGGTCAGCAACAAACAAAGAACAGGTGCGGTGACCCCTTTAGACTAGAGAAAGCAAGGCATGGACTACTTTTGGCCATTTTCATTGGTCTTATCTGGAGGCGTCAAAACTCAAAAGCACGGATATTATTCAACTTAACGTGGAAAACGATAAGCGTCTGCATCACCGCCTCCCCACAGCAGCCGCTACCCGCTCCTCCACTTCCATCGTCCCCCTCACTCAGCTATCATATTTTATTAGTCAAACACGAATTTGGTCCCTCAACTTTCAGATTTATAACAAAATTATCTTTAAATTTCAAAAAGTGTTAAAATTGTCCCTAAATTTTAATTTTCAGCACCAAAATAACCCCTAAACTTTAATTCAATATCAACTTAGTCTTAAACTTTAAAAACAAGTACCAACTTAGACCTTAAACTTTGATTAAAAGTACTAATTTAATTATTCAATTTTGATTATATATCAATATGATATGTAACTGAAAATATATCATGATAACAAAATATAATTGTTTAATTTTACATGTTATTAATACTTTAAAACTATTCTGTGACAAAATAATAAGTCGGGTGACATTTTTGTTAACATAAAGACTATTTCGTATCATTCAGGGATAATTTTACTATTTTTTGAAGTTTAAAGATAATTTTGATATAAATCTAAAAATTGAGGGACTAAATTGATATTTTAACCTATTTTATTACCTAAACTTGCAACATTTACCTATTGATTTTGATGGCTTGATTTTGACTGGTCCCTTGGAGAAACCTATCTCAGCCACTCTTATGTACAAGCTAAATATGATAATTTCACTCCCTGGAGATTCTTTGAGAGAGAGTCGAGCTTTTTGCAAGCTTGGATATCCACACTTCATAAGAGATATTCTGAGCAATAAACTACAAAAAAGATTGATCGATATGCATTTTTAAGCTAAGTACGTATTACAGCTCAGGGAATGCGGTCCTGTAACCATCTGATACATCATACATCCGACTGAATCCGAACATATCATTAACATGTATACAATGGGAACAATGAGGGAACGGAGTTGATGGTCAGAACAGAAGAAGACACAAAATTAAGCAACAGAGAAGGAAAAAACTTATCCTGCTGAGTGACTTATCAGCTTGCATTACATGCCTTCTGATCCTGGGACTTGAGTTCCCCACAAGATTGTATGTATTTGGATGAGAATATATGTTTGTTATCGAGTTGCCAAATATCCTTGCATAGACCATTTCCCCAAATATTCCAATCACAGGATCAAATAAGTTCGCTGTTGTGCTGCCTGGACTGAGCATGGGTGAAGCTGGATAACTGCCTTGTTGAGAGTAATACATGTGCGATTGATGTGAACTGTGAGGATGATGAAATTGCTGTGAAAATTGTGAGCTACTTCCTGATCTTGGTGCGTCAACCCCACAAACAGGACCAAGAGGTCTCTTTGGAATGACTATACCAAGTTGGGGAGCCTTGCCTTTCGAATGTTTTGTGGTTAGCCCCCGGCCATAGAGTGGAATGAGAGAGGTCTGAGTAACTTCAGCTTTGCATACAGGACACTGTTTCTGTTTCTGTTCTTCATTTTCTTCTGAGGAGATGCTCTGAAAATGAAGCCATTTGTAAATACAGGGCCAGCAAAATAAGTGACCACATAGTGTGACTACCGGGTCCTGCACAGAGTCTAGGCAGATATTACACTCAAAACCCCCAGATGGGTTATCAGAACCTGTTATTGAATCTGGTTCAGATCTCCACTTAAGAGAGTTTTTGTTTCCTCCAGTTAAGTCGTCATGAGCTACATCTTCTTCCGGGTCTTGCTCGATGGCCATGTGACCTGCTTGACAAGTCCTTTGCTCTGCTGCAGCCTAAATCTAGAAAACAGACACAAAAGAAAAGATTCACAAACATATAAAAGTTGCTTAGACAGATTTCTAATTTCACTTTTACTGATATATGTTTACCAGAAGATAATATTGCAGGACAAAAACACAGCTTAATTTAAACCTCAAAGGGCTAAAAACAAACAAATAAATGCCACATCCAAAACTGATCAAGCTAGATACATAATCAAGAAAAGTCCTAAGTTTCATCTTCAACGACATAAGCTTGGCAATAAATTATACGTGATTCCAAGTTGTCGAATGACTTGATCTTACTTCGCTTTTAAGGGCATATTTTTATCTGGGTAGATCTGATCAGGCCTAAAAACGTACCATATCACCTCTCAAAATTAGCTTCAACCAGCCGGCAGATGCAGATACCTTATGGTCCCGGATTTCCTTGGTGTGTAATCCATTTAGGAAAATAGAGGAAGGGGACTGAGAAAAGGTAACTCTAAAACGTCTCTTCTTTCCAACTTACTCTTAAAAGCCATATAAAGGTTGATAGTGACAACAACCCACCCAATTGCCTTGACTAACTAATAATTTTCCCTTTCATGTTCAGAAAGAACATGAACGCCTAGGATATGCATATATTCATCAAACCAAATTTCACCAAAGCTACCATGATAATCTTTGTATGCTCAACCACCCCTCCAAGTTCCAACTACTTGCCTTTTTCACAAACTTTCAATAAAGGAACACCTAAGAGAAATATATATTCTCCAACAATATCACAACAACCTCAAGTTGTCAAAACAAAATCGATTGCTAATAAAGAATTACAACCCCTACTAAAAACAAAGCAAGACTCTTTCTTCTAAATCATCATCCCTCTTGAAGAGCATGAAAAATCTTTATTTCCCAGCAAATGAAAAGACAAAGGATGAAGTCTCAATTCCAAAATGATGTAGGATAAAGCTAGATCCATCACAACTCTACAATTGATGCTTGTATATATTTTTTTTTAATTAGATCCAAATAACAGTTTCTATATCAAATGAAAGGGCAGAACTTCAGTTTTCCCTACCCACCCAACAACAACGAATCCATCTTGAACTAAGAGAGATTCTAAAGAAATAAACAGAATGTTAGCTCTAAAAACTACCGCCAAATTTGGAAAGAAAACATCTTTGGTTTTTCAGACTACAATGACTGTTGCGATTATCAAAAATACCAAAAAAAAAAAAGGAAAAGGAAAAGATTTA